GAGTCTTAGAGAGTAACTCACAGCTCAATGACAAAGGAGAAAAGTCAACTTTACAACTGAGATCAAGTGGGAATTCACTTCATCACATGCTCAAACATAGAATCAATAAAGCAGGCAAACTGACACCATGAGATCCAGTAAGAAGTATGTGACTTCACCTACATAATATTGTCACTAAAAATGTAGGCCTGAAATCTAGTCAAGAAGCAACCAATTTCACAGTGGTCTGAATTCTACATTATTAAGAAAAACAGTGCTGTCCCTCCTCCTAGGCTGTTTATCTTTCAGTCATCCTGAGGGACTAAACCAGGCAACTGAACAGGCAGACTGTACACTTAGGTGATAAAAGTTAAGTGGAGGAAGGGCATTAATCTTCAGCAGCAAGCAGAGTACAGTAAGGAAGGTGAGGCACGGAGCAGAAAGGAACAAGGAAGGGGATTTCATGTACTTACTTCCCGGATGGCCCCATCACAGACTCGAATGACATTAAGGAATGTGGGCATGACTTGAGGCAGGAACTGCACACACTTGAGCCCCAAGGACTTGAAGATGAAGGTGATGGCTTGGACAACCATGGTGTGATGGTGAGACAGGGACTGGTCTCGGAAGATCCGCATCAGGGCCACCATGGACACAGCTGGGTAGAACTCGTCCAGGGGCAGGTTTCCCATGTTGACCAGCATTTCACTGGTGCTATAGTCAGCTAGGACAAAGCAACAGAGTTCTAAGTATTCATGACATGACTCTGATGCTAGGCAAAGCATGGTTAACAGCAAACTGAAATCCCCCTCACAGACATTAGCATTCATGTCATTTTCCCTGGTATATTCTTACATGGCTGGGAGTAAGGGGTCAATTAGGAACTGATGACTTGGCTCTCACCATCGGGGACTAAACAGTTTTTGGCTTTTCTATTACCCAAACCATCAAAGCCTGAAACAGTACATGAAGGGTTTTCTTTAAATTGCTATGTTTAACTTAGCTTTGTACCATTACAGTTCACAACTTGGTAGCTGATACCATCAATAAAAATAATTACTCCTCCAATTGAAAGTAAAGGGAATTAAATCAGGCAAACATCTGTTTCATAGCTGCCTGGTCTCCCCACGGAATTCAAACAAGTTAGCAGGCATGCTCCAACCACAGCAGCAAGGATATCAAGGACTCTGCCCAGGGTATTAACATGCCGTGAGGACAGTTTAGAACTAGAGCAGGCTGAGATCGGCCAACTGGTGCTTGTGAAGAAGAATGCCTGTAGGGAACAGATTTAGGCTTTGCTCTTGATAACCATGACTGATGGATTACACAAGCATACTTCTCGAACACTCAGAAGGAAAAAGAAACTGGAAGCAATATGATCTCACCTACAGAGTTTGTAAACAGGTCATTTCATTTTAGGAAAGTAACATTCTGCTAGAATATTTGGGAGAACTACTGTTGAACCTTCACTTGCAGAAACAGGCCTGTCCTGGTGTACAGTGGGTCAAGTTCAGAGAACCCTAGTATCCCAGCCCCTACACCATGTTCTCAGGCTACTTGTAAAGAGGCAACTGAGCTCTAGGGCCAGACCATAGATAAAAAAGGGCCCAGGACTTCTGACTGCTACTAGTTTTTCTATGTCTGAGTCCTACCTCTGATTTCCCTCAATTAAAATAGAGAGAAGCCAAGTGCAGTGACTCACAGCTATAATCCCAACTACTCAGGAAGTGGAGATCTGGAGGACCACAGTTCAAGAACAGCCCAGACAAAAAGTTGATGAGACCCCCCCCCATCTCAACAAATAAGCCAGGCATGGTGGCATGCACCTGTAATCCCAGCTACTCAAGGGGCATAGGTAGGATCATAATACATGGTTGGTCTTGGACTCAAACTGAAAAATAACTAAAGCCAAAAAGGCCTGGGGGTGTAGCTCAAGTGGTACAGCACCTGTCTAGCAAGCAAAGGCCCTGAGTTTAAATACCAGTACTACCAAAACAAAAACAAAAATGACAATAACAATAGCTGTGAACTACCAGTAATCCTAGCTACTTATGAGGCTGAGATCAGGAGGATCAAGGTTCAAAGATGGCCCAGACAAATAGTTTGCAAGACCCCATCTTCAAGGTAACCAGAGCAAAACGGACTGGAGGTGTAGCTCAAGTGGTAGGCTCAAGTGCCTGCTTTGCAATCATGAAACCCTGAGTTCAAAACCCCAGTCCCACCAAAAAAAAAAATAATAATAATAATAATCAACACACACAGAGAGAGAGACTAAGTTCTATCTTTTTCCCTCCATGAGTGCTATGGGAATAAAAAACATCAAAGAGGCAATAACAAAGTATAAGAGATAACAGAGCTGATAAAGTGATGATTCCTATCCCTCCCTTTGGCATCAGAGTATAGACTTAGCCTGTAAATCCTGGACAAAGAATCTAGACAGACATGAGCACTGAGAGTAGCATCCCTGCTGGGATTCAAAAAGAAACCACAGGCTTTTCATTCAAAGGTTGTTAAATGAGGACTGGGGGTGTGGCTCAAGTAGTAGCGTGCCTGCCTAACAAGCAAGAGGCCCTGAGTTCAAACCCTGGTACTGCCAAAAAAAATTAAAAAGTTGTTTAAGAAGCCAGTATCACATTATAGTTTCAGTTGTCTGGCCCAGCACTCTTTCTAAATATGGCCGGTAAGGGGTTTGTGGGTGAGAACTTAAGAAATCTGACTTACAGGAATCCTGACTTGACTTGGATTCTGACAGGCTGACAGCAGAAGCGTCCCGAGACTGGTCAATCATGCCGATGTTCACCTTGTGCTTATAGGGATCCAAAGCCCCTAAGAGCCCTAACACGCGGATAGCCTGGGTAGGAAAGGGGAGAAGGAAAGAAAACATTTATCACAACATCTGATGACAACAGGTTTCACAGATGATCCTCTCAAGTTCCACAGTCCCCAAATCATACCCAAAGACCAGCTACATGAACAGAATGGAGACGGATTAGAAGTCTGGTCAGCATGTGGTGCATGCTATCATATCTCTCTCTTCCCACTATCCTAGCAAAGTCTTTGAAGACTAAGTTCCCATGTTCTCTACCTCTCTCCGTGTGCCCTGGTTCTGCTCAGTCTTCAGAAAATTCAGCAGCACCTCAAGCAAGGTGGGGTACTTCCTATAGGGCTCCACCACATAGCCAGTGCTGGCCACCAATTGCCCCAGGGTCCACAAAGCCACCTGGATGGACAAAAGGCCACATGATTCATTGAGCCAATATGAGAGAAAAGAAAGCACCAATTGTACTCTTTGTATAAGGACTGTAAAGAAGCGTCAGGGGTTATTATAAGAGAAGTTTCTAGAAGAGACATTAACCACGAACAGAATCTTGACAGAAATGTGAGAAACATGAGAACATGGCTGATCAAGTACAAATCTACAAAAATATGAACCTACAACAATCGCTGGACCAAAAGATAAAGAATATGCCTACCTTTCTCAGAGGTGATACAGAGTCCTCTCATATACAATATGACTAGCAGGAGATTTAAAATGAAATTAAGATTATTCTTTTTTTTTTTCTTAGCAATACTGGGGTTTGAACTCAAGGCCTACAACTTGAGCCCCTCCACCAGCCCTATTTTTGTGATGGGCTTTTTCAAGATAGGGTCTTAAGAAGTATTTACCTGGGCTGGCTTTGAACCACAATCTTCCTGATGTCTGCCTCCTGAGTAGCTAGTATTACAGGCGTGAGCTGCTGGCGCCCAGCTAAGATTGTCTTAATTTTAGACTAATCATTTAATAACCTCCAATGACCGGGGAGGGTCAGCAGAAGCTGTGTCTCCATAGACAGTGTCCAAAGCTTCTTTCTCCCTTCAGAAGCTGGGGCTCCGATAAGCAATTTGCATTTTTCTTGGAATAGAGGAAATGGCACTGCTTGGCCCCGATCCTTATTAAAAGTGACTCCAGTCACTTTAACAGCTAATTCTTGTTCCAAGTTTTTCTCCTTTCTACTCATTCAGCAAACAGTGTCGAGTACTTACTGTGTGTCTGTGTGAGGGACTGGCTGGGGACACTGAGGTGAATACAAAAAAAGTCCCTGGTCCCATGGATCTGCCTGCTCAATCAGGAATCAGTAGTACTCACCTGCCTTTTGGCCAAGAGAGAGGAATCCTGGAGCATGTCCATTATGATGATAAAAAGTTCATCAACCCATTTCCTCATTTCTAAGCCACTAACCTGCAAAATGAAAGAGAATAGGCAGGATTAAAAATTACAGCGTTAAGAAGCTGTCTGACTTCTTCAGAGGTTAAATTGTTTCTTTCCACTGTATGGAAAAAGCAGTTGTCACTTCACCTGAGCCAATTCTCCAATTGTGGCCAAGACATTATTGATCACACCTGGGTTTGGGTCAGGGTCTGGATCTTTCAGTTTCAGAATTAAAGCCTAGGGAAAGAAGGTATGAAAAAAATGAATGCAGATTAGAATACACCAGAAACCTCTCTTTTTTATGTATTTAACTTCGTATTTTATTCTTATTTCTTAAATTTGATTCCTTTACTTAATTAAAACACATAATTCTCTAGTGGTAGTTCTTAAACATTTTCCAACTCCACAGTTTATGTGAGTAACATATCTCAGAAATCTTTCTTTTACTTAAGTAAAACTCACCCAAGATGGCTGAGGGCATGGCTTAGGGGTAGCACACTTATCATGTGCAAAGTCCTGGTTTGATCTCTAGCTACACCCTCCCTTCCCCGTCCCCCCAACCCCCCAAAAAATTGGGCTGGCAGAGTAGTTCAAGTGGTGGAGGGCCTAACTAGCAACTCACCCAAGAGACCATCTTAGTCCTAAATAAATTACTTCTAGGTTTTATGAATCCAGGGTATCTCTGAAATTTGTTGGATTTCCAAACTTTTCTCCATACCAAGTACAAGTCCAGCGTAAGAGAAAGCTGGGAAGCACCATGCTTCAAAGGCACTTCTTGTGTCTCCTCTCAATTTTCTGCAATCATTTGTTCAGTTTCACATGTGTTATGGAAGACTTCATGACTATAATGTATTCAGATTTTAAAGCACATTTTTATTCATTTTGGGGGAGCTATTTTATGCTTCTTCTTTCTAAGCACATGGATGGTGCTGGAAGCACCTTAGTTCATAAAAGAGCTCTTTCTGGCAACTGTGAGGTTCTCAGTACTCTTAACTAAATGTGCTCAATGTGCCCTTGTTTCCAAAGAAATGGTCTACGTTGTTCAGTGTACCTGAGAGCACTGAAACACTCCCATCTTCTAAACATGCTCAGACAAGGCAAGGAAAGGATATGCCAGTCTGGCCATCTGCTGTGCATTACCTTCAGTATAGGCTCCATGTAGGGGCGGATGAGTCGGGGGGCATTGGAGACTAGGTGCCCCAGCATGCGGGCACTCTGCTCTTTAATTCTCCCAATGCCACTGTGCTCCAGCTCTGTCAAAATCTGTAGGAAAGAAAGGCTCACTATGGCAGAGGACATTACAGAGAGGAACTGTGTGTCAAAAGGGAAAATGTGACAGGAATCTAGAGGAAGCAACCAGATCGCCATGGCAGATCAAGTCTCTGTTAGATACTCAACAAGCAAAGGGCATCTCTGCAGCTAACAGAACAGCCTTGAATACAGATGCAAGTGGAAGAAAGATGGTTTGAAACCAGCTCCTTCTTCTATCATAGCACCCCAACATCCTGCAGGCCTCATGAAATGAAGGTCTTTAATAGTGCAACACAGTCAGAGAGTTGAGATCAGGGTTTTGCAGAAAAACACTAAGCACTAAGATGGCCTATAAACAATGACAAATCAAAGAAGGCTGGAACAGCTATAATACTGACAGAAATGCTGATACGCTGTAACTGCCTGTAGCACATCTAGATAAACCCAAAGTATTACGGATCACAGCAGGAGGATCCCCTGGGCCTCACTGGACAGGTGTAGCAGGATGTCTGTCCTAACAGCCTTACAACACTAGCACATGGGTACATTATGCTCATGGTGACACAGACTCGGACAACTTAACACAGACATCTGGATAGCTGAAGTTGGCAGAAGGAATTATGAGGATGAGGAAAATCAATGTCACAAAGCCCAGGTTAACTTAGTTACCCACATGAAGGGTCTACAATGTAGTATTATATTTTGTCTTAAGTTACTGACTTAATAAGCATGATTTTCTGTATGCTCTTGACAGCCTGTTTTTTCCAAGTCACAGAAGACATTGGCAAAAGGAGTTGGAAAGAGACACTAAGAATAGACCCATAGCAGCAAAAAAGGAGGACTGGCTGCAAGTAAAGGTGCCCCAGGGAGCAGACACAACTATCAGGGAAGTGCAAGTCAAACCAGAGCTAGGGAGCTTCACTGCTCTACCTGAGAACAGTAACTAATGCTCTACGCAATGACCTAAACCTCAAGAGAAGATCAAACACATGAAAATGTACAATTCAATTTGGGAAAATCTACATCAAAATTAATTTTAATTTTGGAATTTCAGGGCTGGGGATGTAGTTCAGTGATAGAATGCTTACTTAGCATACACAAGGCCCAAGGTTAGATCCCCTACATTGCAAAAAGACAAATAAATGAGATGTCAGCTTGAAGAGAACAGGAGCTGTTCTGGCTTGTTCACTAATGCACTGGCAACACCCAGAAGCACCTGTAACATTCGGTCTTGACTGAATGAACTCACTAATTCCTCATGAGGAGATATTTCTATACCAAACCTATTTAACAATTTGAGCTGGCAGGCTCAATAAAGATTCTTTTTCCTTCCCAAAGCCTTATGTATCTTAAAGACTAAAGTGACTGGCACTCCCAACATGGGCCAGCAGTTTATGAGTCATCAGGCTAACAGCAGAAGTGCCAACCTAGTACAATTTCCTAATTTGCTGATTGATAACACCTACGGCCACTTTTAACAATGACAAATTGCGAGTAAGTAACATTTCCCTAAAGTGAATTAAATTCATTAATAGTATTCTATGTTTAGATTCTTTATATGTTGTAAAAAAAAAAAAAGTGTATATTTCCAAAGAAGCTCTGGTGGAGGGCCAGAAAGTGGAGGGTGTGAGGTGGGTACAGTGGAAGTGAGGGGACAGGAAATGCCTGAATGAGCCTCAAAGAGACCCAGAAGAATTTGGAAATAGGCTGAGCCTGGAAGAACTGGACCAAGCATCACTCACAAGGAGGCTAGAGAACTTACCTGAGTATAGATAAAGACAAAAATTGAGGAGCCGGGTTTCAGCAGGAACTGAAAATTCTAGTAGACCTAGTAGTGATGACAACCTGAATCTCCTTTAGGCTACAGTCTAAGCAGCATAGCTTGGCATCTCATATTATTTAAGAATGAAAGCCAGGGACTCCAGAGCAAGAGGGATGATCATGGGAGAAGTATTGGAACCATGCCCACATGTGTTATGTTTGTTAAGAATGGCCTCTGGGGCTGGTGGCTCAAGTGGTCCTGAGTTCAAACCCGAAAGCCTGCCTCCCATCCCCTGAAAAAGAATGACCTCTGGTATCAGCAAAAAAAAAGTAGGAGAGAAGCAGACAGGAAGAAGCCAGAAGACTGATACTACCTGCAGCAGATGGAGCGTGCACACTAAGGCCAAGAAACGGGGGTTGCAGGTAACTTGCCAGGAAGAAGAAAGAACTACACAAAAGGTTAGCTAGGGACTAAGAAGCTCTGGTGTCACACTGACAAGAGGCTCATGAGGAGAGGAGAACTAGAACTATGATCACAAGGCTGAGAAACATGTGACCCCTTGAAGCCAAATGTGACTTAACAGGCATCTCAATCTTATCCCCCTTCCTTGTCCTCAACTCTCCTTCCCAAGCAGCATTCTCAGTAGGGATCCTTTCCTTACTGCCTATAGGTTTGACTGTCCCCCATTACCTGGATGAGCATCTTGCGCAGGAAAGGCATGACAAAGGCCGGATTCATGCTACTGAGTCGGCCCACAGTGCAGATGGCCAGTTCCCGGATTTCAAACACCTGGTCATTCAGGGCCACAAACAGGGCCTGCAAATTCTCTGCCTGGGCCAGGTGTGCATCAAAGCGCTCATCCAAGGACGCCAAGACACAGTAGCGGATGTCAGGGTCTGTAAGAGCAATTGAGTTTTTGAACTCCTCTTCGTGATCCCATCCCTCCAGTCCTTTCCCAGCTTCCATCTCCACGGCCATCAGCTTAGGGGCAAGACTGCAGATACCTCTCTTTCATCTAACCTTGTCATTCTTTTCTCTACTTATAGAAGTAAAAGGAAAAAAATTAAAGACTGATTATCTCACACAAACAGGCCAGAGAAGCCAAGCCCAATGCCTTGGCAGAGTTGGATATGAGCTTATTGATGCTGAAGATCTCTAGAGAGGCCTGTAATGAAACTGCCTACTTCTAACTTCCCCATGCTCCTGAATCCTCCAGGATGCTCCTGCCTGTAAACCTTACCGGGATCTGTTATCCCAACTACGAGCAGTTTGCTGAGCACATCTGCTACAACTTGCACTGCAGTCTGGCTAACCACATGGGCATGGCCGCTGATGAGGTGGATGGAGGGTGTGAGCAGGCGGGAGCAGGTACGGGCAGCTTCCATGCGTATCTCCTTGTGTTCACTGTTCAGGAAATGATCCGCACAGTGGCGGACAAACTGGGTGAGAGAGTGGCCTGAATACAAAGGCAGAGAGAAAACAGAATAAACATTGCTGCTTTGGACAGGCAGGTCTACAGTTTGCTAGCTAGCTATGTTTTCCATTTGGGGTTCCTCATTTCATGTTCAACAAAGAACTGATCAGTAATATGTGGACTCAGAACTCTTCTCTTAAAGGGAAACACATGGCCCTCCAATCAGCAGAAAGGTAGAAGAGGTGATAAAGAAACAGGGAGACAGAAAAATAGTATCACCCCTCTTTATTTTCCTTTTAAAGCATAAAGTACTTTGTTTCACTGACCTAAGTCCTCCATTCCCAGATGGTAAAATAATTCTTGATCAAGTTCACCTTGACTATTTTAATTTCCAGATTTAAATACCCAAGAGAGTCTGATATAGGCTGGGTTGAAACATAGCTATATTCTACTCATTAGAAATACATTATGATTGATGTTCAATCAATGTAAACAAAGGAACTGTGACAGGGAACCCACAGACTTACAGCCATATACGGCTGTTAAGTCCTCAAACACTAGGCCTGTACTTGATTGTTTCCCTGTATCCCTGACCATTCCTACCTACACAATATTAAGTTTCAAAGTACCCATTTTTCCTCCTGAAACTGGATATTGATGTGGTTTTATCTGCAGCTTAGAATTCCAAATTAAACTGGAGTGCAGCACTTGGATATTATACAATCACAGGAATGGACAAACCAGAATTTCCTGTTTCTATCTTTCAAAGCATTAAATACCCTTTCAGTTACAGGAAAGTGGGAAAGTGAGGAGGGGTTATCTACCTCTAACTTTTCCACTTCCCAAGCATTATTTCCCTCGATCAATGCATACTTTTCCTGAACACCATCTGCCCCCAAACACAACACAACACAAAGAAGAACACAGTCTGGGAAGGGAATAGCTGCTATGTAATCAGCACTCTGTCTCAAGAACCCCAGTAAGAGCTAGGAATTCTAGGCACCCTCACCCCTTTCGTAAGGTCTTGGCAAGAGCCACTGTAATTTCTTACCTTCAAATTCAAAGCTGCCAAGGGTTCGGAGGGCAAGAGTGATGCTGCCCACATCACTGGCCTCAGGGAGAGTGGTGAGGCCAGGGGAGGCCAGCTGGTGGGCGAGGCCTTTGGGCATGCCTGGGTGGCGGAGGGGTTTATGCATAAGGACTAGAGACAGCATCTTCAGAAGCCCATCTTGAATGTCCTTCTTCAGCTGCGGAATCTGGCGGCTCAGGTCATAGAGCACAGCAGTGAGGGCAGGGCTGAAGAGAAGGAAACCAATCACTAGGGCTGGGCACATGACACTCCACTGTTCTTGGGAAATAGCACTTCTTGGCTATTAAGGGGACCAGGCCCATCACCGCTGGTCTCTAAACTAGAAAGGATGCTATGAAATAAAGTAAGCCTGCAGAAGTCTCTTAACCTGGTCTCAGGTATAATCCACGAGAATCTGGTTTTCACCACAGGAGAACTTGCTTAATATAATTCAAACACTACAGAAGACTGAGTCTCAATACACAAAAATCAGGAAGTGCATCAAGAACATCATCCTTATTTTATAGGTGAAAAAAACTAACTTTAGGGAGTTTAACCACTTTGTCCAATAATGATATAAACAACAACTGCAAACATCTATTAAGTACTTCCTGTATGCTGGGCATTGGGCTACGAGTGGTTATTTCATGAACTCCCCTCAACTACTCTAGATAACAGAAATTGTTATTGTACCCCACTTTTCAGATGAGAAAAACTGAGGCTCAGAGAAGTAACTTAATTAAGATCACACAGGAGCTAGTGATGAAACCAGGATTCAAACTAGCCTATGTGAGCACTCCTGCGTATCCAATTTAAAGTGCTAATGACCACATCTTGCTCCTCTAAGGCATTCCCAATGGTGGGACACAGGCCTCTCACTGACTGAGGCAGGGCAGGCACATATCTCTGCCACGTACCTCAGGCCCACCGCCAGCATGGGCTCCAGCAGCTCTTTGATGTCCTGTTGGATGCCCGGGCCCATTGCTCGTGCCAGCATGCTGATGCATGTGAACACTGTGGCATCCACCTGCATTGCCTTCTGTCTCCTGCAGAGAAACAGAACGGCTAGTTTAATATAAAAACATTCAGTCATGTCCCACCTCAAATGCACCTTGGGGCAAGGAAGGCAGGTTACTTAGGCAAGGCCACCACATGTGCTATGCAGGCTGTCTACAGCATAATTCTAGGGGCCCTCGTGGGAGTCACTGTGGATTTGGGTATTTATAATGACAATTCAGCAGATGGCAGCAACATGTCTTAAGGAGCAGGCTCCTTTTCTGAATTTACACATTGGCACCACACGGGTCAGTGTGCTGCTGACCAAGGTGACTGTTTGGGAGGCAGAGTGCACAGCATGTCCATCAGGGACCAGAGGGCAGCACATGGCCATCACATGGAAAGAAACTTCTCCCTATGATGGGAATGCTGGGTGTTAGGATGAATTGGACTTGTTAGTGCACCAGGGCAATCCCTACTAATAAAACAGGGAAGTACAAAATACAACTCTATTAACATTGACTCTCTAGCCTTAGCCAAGACACCCTGGCTTCTCTATCTGGCAGGATGAAGAGTTTGCTGAAGGGTTTTTCATTTTCCTCAATGGAAGCTTGAAAGAGGTGGAATAACTTGCTCAACTTTAGAGATAAGGAAAGAGATGATGGCCAGATCCCTTCAGTTTGAGTCAAGGATTCTTATCTGTAGATCTCTTATCAACTTAAGGCCTTTGAATGCCAGAGGAAAGAGCAAAACTAGATGATTCCCCATAAATAAAAACATCAAAAACTACGCTGGCATCTAACATGTTCTCCGTGTATTCTACCTGGGAAAAGCTAGAACTCAAGTGAGGAAGGCCTATTCTTTACCTCCTGCACCTGAGAACACAATGCTGCATGGAAAGGGCGTAAGCACTGAGGAACTGAGATGGAGCATGCTTGCTCTCCATGTAAATGGAGTGGAAGGTGAAATTGTAAGAGAGATGCTTACTTATGGGCAAAGTCTTTAGGGGGCAGGGCTGCTCGGATAATGTCCAGCACGCGAGGCAAGTAGACCTTAAACTCGGACCTCACAGCCACTGAAAGTAGCCCTAGGGCCTGGAACGCTGCTGTCCGTTCCTTCTCCTTCTTGACACAGCTGAGGACATGGTTCATGGTATCTTGGAGGTACTGGGTATCTGAGCACAGAAAAGACAAAGTGCATGGCTCAAGGTCAGAATTGGTATCCAAAATCGGAGTTCCTATATGGCACTTAAGTTTAAGAATAAATTAAGAAGACCTGTTGGAAAGATGTTAAGAATTTAGAGGAAGGGTGGTGGAGTGGCTCAAGTGGCAGAGCACCTGCCTAGCAAGAGTGAGGCCCTGAGTTCAAATCCCAGTGCCATACACACAAAACAATTTGGAGGACATCTGATGCTTGATAATCACTCCTATCACTCCTCAGGCATATCTTTCAGAAATACTAGAAATGTTTTTCCCTTTAATTAAAAAAAAAAAAAGGAGAAAAGAGGGGTCGCCAAAATAGTATCACACAATTATCTCTACTAGTGCTATTGAGGGAAAAATTACTTGCTCTTGTTTAAAAACAAAGAGATCTAAACTATTTTATATTATAATGAATATTGAATACTATTTACAAAAATTAACAGGCTATTCCATTCATCTTAGGCTTGGAAATTACTTTGTTATTACCTAGAAATTTTTATTCTAATAATATTTAATACAGTAAGATTTAGCCTATAATTTGGAAAGCCACATGTGTATTTTCATTAAGTTTACATAAGCCAGTATGCAAGGGTAGGTGATTCTTGTGCAATTTAAGCAGAAGTGTTATTTCTCCTCTGAGGGCTGGAATTTCTTGACTCTTGCCTCCCTTGTTTCTTCTCTCCCACTGGCTGGCCTTGAGTCTGTGCCCTATGAGCACTTATGACAGCAGAGAAGACCACACATCCATTAGGAAAGCAGGGATGTGAGGGCTACTGCAATCACACTTAGACCTTGAACCACACTCCCGAACAGCACATATACAAGTTGAAAACAGGCAGACCAAGTTGACATAACCCTAAATTCAAACTGAACCAGCAAGGGAACTAGCCCCTACATATAGAAGCAGCATTTCAGCAGGAAACGAGCTTAGTCGAGTGTGATTTTCCATATTTAGCACATTAAGAGATTAGAAATCTGACATTGAAAACATTCTAACTTGGTCTTAGGGTGAATATTGTTTCAAAAAACTTATTTTTACCGTTCTTTTTATGTTCCCCAAACTTATACCAGCAGGAATTTCAAGTAATGACTTCCCAACTGTGAGCTTTAAACAAGTGGCACCTTGTTTAAAATGCACACCTAAGGTATGCATTTATGGGGGCTGCCCACACTGAATTTCACTATGTTATTTTATTATTTAATAAAACAACAAACCTACATTAAAGAATAACCCAGGGGCCCTCTGAGTCTTTGTATCCTGCTGGTAGGCAGCCTTCTAAACATACCAGGGTAACTGCTTCTACAACGTGCCAGACTTTGATCAAATTTGGCTTAGTTATTAGTTTCTTTTGAACTACAGACTTTCAATCCCAGATCATTCGTAGCTCTATTGATCAGGGGCATGTCTGGTCATTAAGAAACAGAAGAGCTGCTGGGTGCCAGGCAGGAAGAATGGAAAACTGAAAAAATTATGGTAGATTTCATTCTATCCTTTCTCTCTGGTTCAGTAATTTTATGTGACTAAATCGTCTTGTCCTTATCCAACACGTTCTACTTCTTACACACAGCTTGCTTAACACCTCATCAGCTAGACTTCTCCTGTGACTTTATCTGGGCTGGTGATGTGAACTGAATCTATACTGGGAATGGCAGCTGCTGAGGGTCAGACTGCTTTTCCCTTATGCTCCTGACTCTTCTTTGGTCCACTGCTAAGCACAGGCAATGTGCACCCCAGTAAAGTAGAAAGAGATATTGAGATGAGGTCTCACTCTCACCAACTAGGAGGCATTGTAAGGATGTTAAGTATGAATAGCAATTGAGTATTATTATATTATATACCTCCGCCTTATTTCCAAAATGATCTGAAGTAGCTCAGGAGGTAGTAGTAATGTAATAATGGTTTCATTTGTTGAGACTTAATCTGTGCTGAATACTACAAAAGATACTTAGGCACTCATGCTGTTCATCTTGGGAGGCAAGGATTGTTATTCTATCTGTACAAGTCAGGAAATAGAAATGCAGGAGGGTGAAAGAACTCGTCCAAAACCTCAGTTTAAGGACTCATACCAGGTCTGATGCTAAAGCTTTTCTAAAGTGGCGAGCTATACTGGAAGAACAGAACACTTCCAGCTAGAGGAATCCATGGTGGCTTCATTAAAAAGCCATTATCTGAGCTGAGCCACCAGATCCCATAGGCAGAGATTCACAATGCCCACTTGGGACAGGGCAGGAATATGGGAACTCACCATCTACCACTGGTGCAATCTACCTCTGAACATCCAGTCATTCCTTCCTGTGAGTGGTGAGGCAGTTTAGTGCAGGAAGATCACGTGGGTTTGAATTCAGGGCCTCATGCTTACTAGGCAGGTACCCTATCACTTGAGCCACCCCCCCCCACCTCCTTTGACCTCTTTTGAGTCCATTCATGAACTTGTTGACTTCCACACATGAGAAAATCCTTGGCCTAGAACTGCCCTTCTGCCTACACATTCTGATTGTTCCCGTCTCAAAAGAAAACTGGACATGTGGCAAAGAAACCACAGACTAGCCCTCATGTTGACACTGCTTCCCACAAGCAGACATATTTTCTATAATCACTTCTTCTCTATTTAATTATCTTTAGGTGGGTAACGATGTCTTCTATGGACATCCTCACCTGTGAAGGCAGAAGGTCGGAATGCAGCCAAGCGGGGCAACAAATTAAGGATTGTCATTTGGATCAGCGAGTTCTTGCTATTCCTGCATTTCAGCACCCACTGGCACACCTGAAAGAGGAAGGATAAAGGGTTGGCAGAGAGAAGGGAGACATGGACCTTGGAAAAAGAGGAAGAGGGCCTCTTGCCATTTACCTGATCAAATTTCTCTTCCATCAAGTCTCTGCAACACCGGCTTTCCACCAGGGTGGACTTAGCTGGGCTGGGGGAAGCCCCAAATCCCATGAGGCCTTGGTGAGAACTGTACCCCAGCAGCCCCACCAAGGCATTTGACTGCTGGGGCTGTACAGCCTGGAAACTGGTGAAGGGGGTAATGTGACGAGGCTTCGTCCCAAAGCCCATGAGATCTTTGCAGTACTTGTCGTGCACAAGCTGCTGCTGTGTGATTTCTTCCATTTCTTCTCTCAGACGCTATACACATGCAGGGGAAGGGGGAAAAAAAAATGAGGCTTTCAACCTGGCCACTATGGAGCCTGGAAATGCAACTATAGTGGAGAGCAGCAACTCTTCATCTTCAGGATTACCACTTCCCCAGAGCCTTCCAGGGGATCTGATTTTGTTCTAATGCAGACAGAAGCGCACCACCAATGGAACAATGAAGAAGCCACAGAGAGCTGACTGCCCAGACCTCCAACCTCCAAGTAGTTCCTGACAGGTTTGGGGTGATTTGCAGAGCTGAGATTACAGAAATGAAACCTCTTGCAAAGGCATGGGCAGTCCCAAGCCAGCATTCTCTTAAGGATATTCTGATCCCTTTCTTTTCCCCTGAAACTTTGATATAAACTCAGGCAAGTCATTTTCCTAGAATCCTAGTCCATAAGAGGTATGGACTAAGCTGACCAAGAACACTCATCTATCCATTTTAAAAGGCTTGCTTAACAACTCATCCTTCAAATTTTCAAGTTGAGAAAAATATAAAACAATTTCCCAAACTTCCAAAGTTTTCTCGACACACATATTTTCCTTGTTCAGAAAATCATGTCCACTATGCTTATCAAGGTTCACTGATGGCTCCGACACTACTATATCCAATGGCAAATTTTCAGTCCTCATCTCCTATGACTTATTTGCAGCATTTGATTCAACTGCTATTTTTTCAAGACCCTTTCTTCACTTAGCTTCTTGGACCCCATTCTCTCCATGCTCTCCTCCTCCTCCCTGGCTGCTCCTTCTTACTCTCACTCAGTTCCTCTTCATCTCCTGACCTCAGGTTCATAAATCCCATTTCTTCTCCCAACTTCACTAGCTCTTTTGTGGTTCCTGTGTAACTTCATGACTAAAAATAGCATCTATATGCTAATGACTCTCAAATTTGTTTCTCTTGCCCAGGTCTTTCCCAGAATTACTCATTATCTCATGCAACAGGCATCTAGAGCTTAACCTGTTTAAAAGCAAACTCCTGACCTTCTCCCCTTTTGGCTCCCCCAGTCTCAGCCTTCCTATCTCAGTATGTGACAACTCCAGTTGACTTTTTTTCTCTCCGTCCATCTCAATATATCAGCGAATTCCAAGTTCAGAATCCAGCTCTTTCTTACACCTCCACAGTTCCCACTGGGATCTGAAGTTAGCCCCTGCTAACTGAAAATTCCCTCTTAACAGGATTTTGGGCTTCAGCCTTTGGTCCTCCGACAATCCATTCTCAACAGAGGCTCGAGTGAACCTTTCAAAACAGAAGTCAGATATCACTGATTAAAGCCCAGTAATAGCCCCTCATTGCACACACAAAGTCTATTCAGTGGCCCCCGAGACCCTACATGATGTGTTCCCACCTGCCCTAGGTATCTTTGTCTCTGTCTCTCACTACCTCTCATGATCACTCTGCTCAGTCACAAAGGCATTCTGCCTCCACAGGCAATAGCATGCTCCTGCCTTGAGGCTTTTTGGAATCTCTTTCTAATCACTGGTGTGGCTTTCTGCTTCCTCCTTCATCACTGGGCTTGATCACCTATCTGAGCATTTTTTACTCTGCTTCTCTAACCTACTGGTCTCCAATGCACTCACCACCATATCACTTATCACAGTACATTTCTACTTATTTGGGACTGTCTCCCTGCTAGAACTTAATCTGTTTTATTTACTGTTGCATTATTCTAGCTCTTAGGGTACAATGTTGTTGGCACACACTTGCTCAACTAACAATTGCTGAACATGTGAACAAATCACAAAATGATAATTCTTATGTTTGAGAAGACTCCTTATAATTCACAAAGAGTCATCATGACAACTATTTCATTTAACCTTAAGTGTTAGGTGATAGCGTTCTGTTTTACTGGGTGGAAACAAAGATCCCAGAGCTGCCTGGACTACAGTGGAAAGCACCATGTCAAACTCAGGTAGGGAAATCTCTGAATGCTACCATTTATAGAATGCCCACCAGCTATTCAGGTGCTGTACTGAGTACTTCATATATATTGAGAAACCTCACACGAGCCCAGTGAGGTGGGTAAGAGCCCTGTTGAAAGTGAGCAAAATGAGGCTAAAGGGTTAGAGTCATTTGCTTGAGTCACACAGTATACAGAGGAGTGGGGACTTAAGCCAGAGGCCTTCTACTGCTACGTGTGCTGCCTCCACAATCAGGGCACAGTCACTGCCAAACAACTACTGTGTTAATCCAGGCAGAAAGCCCTAAGATGAGATTCCATATCAACAGATTCTCACAGGAAGTCACACAGATGGGAGTTCTACCTCCCAAATATATTCTGTACCCTACCTTCTCCATATCTGGTTGCTACATCTGTCAAAGTCACCACTGTGCTGGAGTTTCCCATGCAACCAAGAGAATATCTAACCAAAGGCCCTGGTTGCTGCTCTAAGCCCCATCACCAAGCATGTGCCATGGCCACACTTCCCATGGGTTGCTTCTAGTCAACAACAGACCTAAGCCTGTTCCTGGTCGACAGCTGACTTTGGCTTGAAGACCCCACAGTGATTGTGCACATAGACAAGGAGGCTCCCATCCAATGCTTCTTCCCTCTCTGGCTCACTCACGGTCAGATGTGCAGTGTTGACTCAGCCCTGCTCCAGGTCTCTCAGACTACTTCCCTAATGAAATCCTTGTGCTTTTAAACCCATCTTCTTAAGCTAACTATCTGGTTTCATTCCTACATACTTGTTCCTACAAGCAGTCAGTAGTTGTGAGAAATGCATGACACTACATCATTCCCTTGTGTGCACATCTCCAATTTTTGCCCCTGAAGTTAAAATAGAAGTCAATGTTTACCAGGAACCATGAGGCCAATTAATTTTCTTTTGGTGGTACTGGGGTTTGAACTCAGGGCCTCATGCCTAATTTGGGTCTTTGCTCTCCTCTCTGACTCTACCTGCCCCCCTCTCCTTTGCTCACGGTGCACCTGCTATACTTCCCTTCTTTGACTCATCAGTGTGTCAAACCCTTTACTGCCTCAAAGCTTCTACTGGAACACAGTCCACCAGCCAGCTGCAAGGTGGCTCCTAAAGGAGTAGATCCCACCCCAATGGCACCACCTCAGGGAGGGCCTTCCCTGACACTCCACTCACCTCTACCCCACTATCCCCAACCCTATTTCGGTTTTACTTTTTCATAGGACTTGTTGCTGTCTGGATTATCTTGCTTGTCTGTTTGTTTCTCCTACAGTAAACTGTCAACTTCATGAGAAAAAGGACTTATCTTGAAGGCTCACAGAATGGTCACAAGAACCTGGATTCCCTGGATACTGCTTCTCACCTCACCCTCCATGCTGCTGATTCGGACCAGCTCATTGAGGATTAGCAATGCTCCATGGATCCGATCATCACGATTCATGCCCTTCTCTTTGGCCAAGGTCTCATCAAACCCTTTCTCTGCTTCTTCAAATGTGTGCTATGTAGAAAACAGAATGCCTGGATTATACAGTGTCCAAAGTCAGAAAGAACAGTCCCAGCCCATGTGTCCGGAGGTCTGAGGCATTACAATGTCTACTTGGTGCCCTTGTGCCAGCATCATCCACAATACTGACTTACAAAGCTCCGTTATCTAATTTAGCTTCAACTCTCACAAGAAGTACTATTTTCTTTCTTTCTTTTTTTTTTTTTTATTATTCATACGTGCATACAAGGCTTGGGTCATTTCTCCCCCCTGCCCCCACCCCCTCCCTTACCACCCACTCCGCCCCCTCCCTCTCCCCAAGAAGTACTATTTTCATTCCTATTTAACAGATAAGTAAAACAGCCTCAAGGAATGCTGGGATAGTGGCATACACCTGTAATTCCAGCTGCTCTAGAGGCCGAAGCAAGAGGATCTCAAGTTCAAAGTCAGCCTGGGCTGCAAAGCAAGACCACGTCTCAAAACAACAAAATCTCAAAGATACTAAGTAACATATCCAAGGTTACACAGCCAAGACAAGAGTAGAACTAAGGTCTCCCAATCCCACATCCTTTTGTGACATGGGCCTCACTAGGAGGTTCCCTTGGCAGCAGCCATCAGCACAGGACTCAGGACACTGGAGCAGGGGACAGGCACTTCCCAAATTAACACCATTCCCCATATTTTAACATCTCTACAAGATGTCTTCTAGTTCTACTTTATTTTTGCAGAGCTGGGAATGGAACCCAGGGTCTTGCCTACGATAGGCAAGTGCTCTACCACTGAGCTACAGCCAGCCCTCTTCTAATTATTCATAGGAAGGCAATGAATTACAGTTTTGGGTTTTTCTGGGGGGTGGTGGTACTTGGATTTGAACTCAGGGCTTCACACTTGCAAGGCAGGGGCTCTACTGCTCAAGTCATGTCTCCAGCCCTGAATCACAGTTTAAATGACATACTTTCATAAAACAGTGTGGCTATCAATGGATCTTTGCTTTAATGAAATGCAATAGTGACAACTGAGTCACGGCATAAAAAAATTACTGAGGGCCCAAACAAATGTGATACTTGCTCTGTGGCCAGGTGCCTGCTGCTGCCCGTCAGGCCAGGTGATTCTTCAGGTCAATGTGCTGTGCTAGTGGCTAGAATGGCACCAACTCCTTACCCTGTACCACTGAGGTTTCTGCATCTCCTTTGGCTCCCGCTGAGTGGTGAGAATCAGACAGGCACGGAGGGCGGCTACAGCCCCCTCCCGGATGGCTTGCTTAGGATCCCACACAGCCACAAATATGTTGTCAAAGAAGGGCTGCACTTGCTGGAAGAAGAAGGTGGGGACGCTGATAGCCAGCTCACGGAGAACCAGGACCTGGGAGAGGAGGGCAAACTGAGAATTCTTTTGTATCAGGAGTTTTGTGAGCCTTACTCTTCCAGCTAAGTCAGACAGAGGAGGCAAAGTGAGTCTGATCAATATCTCAGGGCTCCTTACTCTAGATTGTTAACAAACACAGAATGCTTGCAATGCTTAGACACTGCTCTGGAAAGCAAGTGTGTTTGATGGTTTCTAGACCACTATACTGACAGCCTAGAGCTGTGCCAGAAATATAGCACATATTCAATAAATACCTATTTAATGAATAAACGTACTTAACGTTTAATCTTGCTTTATTTTCATTTCACAGAGGAATAAACTAAGGGGCAGCCAAGAGAACCAGTGTCCACTCATGCTCCTTCCTTGTGTGCTGCCTTCTGAATGGAAAGCTGACTGCGTATGATGCTTCCAATTCCCTCTACACGCACTCCCCAGGTCCACTCTCACGAACTGACCTGTCCATCTCACAGCCTGGAACCCTGGCCCAACAAAACCCAGCTTTTTCGGGGATAGTCTCGGATGGAAGCAAAGGGACTCCCACCATGCACTACCACTCCCCAAACCTGGCTGTGCTTCTCCCTGCAGGCACTCACAGCTGCATGTCTCCGGCCCTCGTTGCGGTCAGCACCCAGCCATTCCAGGGCTCGCTTCACCTCAAATTCCACATACTCAGCAGTGAAAGTGTCCCCTGCCATAGCTAGGCGGCCAATGGCCTTGGAGGCCATTTCCATGACAACTGGGTCATTGGAGGGGAGAAGGTTCCGAAGATAGTTGGCAAATCTGCCAATTCGGGTAGCATTCCCGCCTTCCACTCCTATGAGGCTGGCTGGTAAAGAGAAAAGGGCAAAATGTGATGATTCAGCATGCGCTAGCCAGGAATGTAAGGGGACTTGAGCTTGGGCTACTGAGTGATACCTTTATTTTATTTTCAGCACATGTCTAAATTGTAAGGATATAGACAATTTGTTCTTATGTTTGTGCCAGAACTACTTATATAAAACAAAATGATCTCATTTTAATATGTAAAATTTGTTTTCCCAAGAAAGGAAGGAAAAACTGAGACTTAACAGTAATTAACAGGATTTATTACCAGTTGAAAATGACCTGCCTTTTATTACCCAATTCTACTTTCCCATTTGTGAGCTTCACTATGCTAGACCCTGCTCTATAGCAAAACCAGAGGCTGAAAAAAGGCAACATGGGATAGTGGAAAAAAAAACTGGCTTCTAGTCTCAGCTCTGGTAAACTGTTTGGCCCTAGTAGGATCACTTAATGATTCTAAGAGTCAGTTTCAACTTCTAAAAATACCTGTTTTGCCTTTATCCCAGGACTGCTGTTAGAATTAAGACCTACATAAGGGTACTGAAAGTGACAGGACTTAAAAGTTTTTTAAACAGAGATGAACTAAACATTTAATTCATCAAGTAAGTAGCAGTGCAGTAGGGACAAAAGTGAGTGGTCTTTCATTCCTAGTTACTATTGTTACCAGAGACTATTCTTACCGATGGCCAAGATGCCACCTTTCCTCTCATTGGCATCTGAGCTGGAAACCAATTCAAAAATGTGATGGTTCAGCTGGTCATAGAAGCGAGTAGACTCCTCTTGACTCATCTGCAAAGGAAGATGCACTCAGATCAATTTCTAGTGTCTCCCTAATGGTGATGCCAGAGGTGGGCTAACCTTAAGATTAGGAACTGAGAGGTAGTTCAAACCTAAGAAGACAAAAGCTACTGCCCATTTCCATCCTTTAACAGTGTAACACAGCTGAGTCTGTGATTCATCTGTTTATTTAACACTACCTACTGAGCCTCTACTCTGTAGAAGACAACATCCTATCCTAGATTTTCCTTAGCACTAGGGGCACAAGGATGAACAGGCCACTGTCTCTGACATCAAGTATAGTCTCTGTTTAGAAAAGTCCAGGCCATCAACTCTCCAATCCACTGGTCATCATCAGAAAGAAACAACTGAATGGCTAGTAGTTGGTAGGTGAAAAAGAAAAATAGTAAGAGACACAGCTGAATCTATGTTCACTCCTAAAATATGACCACGAACACGAGAAATGCCATGGAAATGTGGCAGATGTTCCTGCTGCAAAGGAACCTGCATGCTCTTTGGACAGGAGAAGCCGGGTGCCTTCCTAAAATGAAAATTCTCACTCAGCTGTCAAAAGGAATCTACATTTAGCCCAAACATCCCTCAAGGATGGGCCCCAAATCACAAAGGTCTAACCTCACGCAGCTCCATGGTGACATAGTGCTGGAGCTCCTTGGCAGCTTTGGCCCTGGTCTCCTCACTCCGGCTCTTCAAGCCACTGGCAAACTGCTGCAGAACGCTCACGTTGCTAGATGTGGCAGCGGCAGCCGCGGCGGTGGGCCCAGTTCCAAGCATCTTGCCCTGAGGTTCTTAGAGAGAAGCTTCCTTCAATATTCCAGATGAGCAGTGGTGACATGTTTACTTACAGCCCTAGCTCCTCAACACAAGTCTCCACCCAGCTCATGTCAGGCAGGGTATTCTAAAAAGGTTGGGAGCTCTCACTGAGAAACTCAGAGAGCTCAGACTCATTCAATGATGACTATTATTTAAAAGAGGCAGTGTACAAGAGAGGGTCAGACTGTGGGCTGTGAAGCTGGACTACTGTTTTTAAATCCGTTCCACAGTTATCCACCTGGAGGAACACATTTTAAATTCTTTATTTTCCTCAATTATAATCATAGTATCTTAACTCATGGGTTGAGGTGAAAATTAAGTGAGTTAATACACATTAGAAAGTGTTCACATTGACGTCAGAATCATCCTTCCCTGCCAGGCGTGGTGACACACACCTGTGATCCCAACACTTAGGAGGCAGAGGCAGGCAAAGTGGAGTTTGAGGCCAGCCAGGGCTAAGTAATAAGACCCTGTCTCAAAAACAACCAAAAAGCAACAACAAAAATGTGTTAAAGGATATAGTGGTGCACATGTAGACCCAGCTATGTAGAAGACTGAGGCAGGAGGGAGCCCAGGGGCTGGAGAACAACCAGGGCCATATAGCAAGACCCATTAAAAGTAAATAACAACAACAACAACACACACCCATACACACAGAGCCACAAACACCTGTTTTAAACAGTGCTGACAAACAGTGAGTTCTTAAAACCATTGCTTGCTATTATTATAACTACCATATACATGACATAGTGCCGAGTACCAGAGGTGGGGAGGGAGGGAGAGAATCAAAAATGATTAGGACTGCCCCTTTCCTCAGAGTTCAAACTAAGAGGAAGACTAATTACTATTCTACAGCAGCACTCAACATAGCACAAGCCACAAATGTAATTTTAAATTTGCTAGTAGCCATGTTTAAAAGGAGGAAAAAGAAATATGTGAAGTTAATATTTTTTATTTAATTCAATATATCCCAAAGGCCATTTCAATATTATCAATACAAAACTGTATTTTCTGTCCTTTTTTTTGGTATCAAGTCTCCAAACTCTAGCATGCATGTTATACTCATAGCAATCTGTAAGTTGGACAGCTCACATTCAAGCACCCAGAGCCACATGTGGCTGGCTGCTCTTTATTGTATTGGGCAGGACAGTTCTACAGAATACTAGGATAGGCAGCCCTCTGTATCCACGGGCTCCAAATCTGTGGATTCAACCAATCTCAGATAGAAAATATGTACTGACCATCTATACAGACTTTTTTCTTGTCATTATTTGCTAAACAATACAGTATAACAACTGTTTACATTGAATATGGTATTGTAAGTAATCTAGAGGTGATTTAAAGTATTCAGAAGGATGTACATAAATTACACGGAAGTACTGAGCCATTTTACATAAAGGACTTGAGCATCCACAGGTTTTGGTGTCCTAGGAGGGGAGTTATGGTACAAATCCGGCACAGGTACCAAGTGTGAGCTAGAAGAAACCAATTAGTTCCTAAGACCATTCTTTTTGTAAATTCAATGAATTTACAAATAATCTGCCAATCCCAATACAGAGGCTAGAAAAGCCCCCAGTCCACACTGCTATGACAGTAACATGGATCTGTCTTAAGGACGGCCAAATAATCTTAGAAAACCAATTGATTTTCAATTGATCTGAAATCTTTGAATCAACTCATTCAAAGAATTTCCATGCCCAGGGAATCCTTTTAGGGTCCACAGCCCACAAGCCGTCTGCTACAGGCTCAATTCAGTGGAACTCTTGGAAGTCAGATATCCTCAGGGTCTTGGTGATGGCTTACGGAAGTTAAAGTCGGACGGCTGACACAAGGGATGGGGGCGTGGGAGAGGCAGAGACGACAAACGCAAAGGATGGAAGCGAGCCCCGCTCAGGGGCCTGGGTCCCGGAGAGGTCTCCAGGGTGGAGTACAAGGGGCTGACACTGAAGCTGCTGGTCCCTAAGGCACGCTCCATCATTGGTAGGTGGCTCAGAAGGGGCGATTGTGAAGGGAAAGGAGATCCAAAGGCGCCAGGGCAGTACCGGAGCCGATAAGCTGGCCTTCCGGGCGCCTGGTACGCTCGGGGGGCTGAAGGACTCTGAGGGTGCTGGGGAGGTGGGTGTCGCCTCGCGGAGTGCGGGTAAAGGGCTCAGGCGGTGCCCGGGTCGTGTGCCGGTACCGAGGAGACTCCACGTTCCAGACCGGCGGCTTTCCCGGGGGCCCCCCACCACGGACCATGCTGGTCGAGAGTCTGAACATTCCGTCGCCTTGGAGGGGTCGGTGCCAGGCCCCAGACTCACCGCGCGGCTTCGGCCAAGGCCTCAGCTGCCGCCGCCAACCCCGATACCGCCGTTTCAGGCCCCTAGCCCCACCACCCGCCTTCCTCGCTGTCCTCTAAAGCCGGGCGGGAGGGAGGACAGGGTCCAAGACCTCATGACCAATAGACAGCGTTAAAACCAAGATGGACAGGAACACAGACCAATAGTAATGAAGGAGAAGGGAATCTTTGGGACCCGGCTTCTCCAGTGGGCGGGGACTGTTCAAATAGACAAACCACGCGGCCAGTAGCAGGTGAAAGAAGGCTTGGCTCCGCTTGGGAGAACCAATCTGTCGTGAGTTGACTTCAGTCACTTCCACGCACACATCCGGTGCATCGCTACTGTGAGTCCCCTCTGCCTCGGGGCGGTGGCCATGTGGGGTCCGCTGTCTAGGTACCGCGGGATGGGACCCAGAGCGCCGGGTGACCGCGCTCGCGGTGATTCAGAGAACAGGGTGTGAGTCACCCCGGAGCCCTGGAATACTGTACTGCAGCAGAAGACGCGCAGTCTTGGGGCTAGCTGGATTTAGGGTCCGTGCTTTCTCTTGTAAAGTTTAATATGCATTTGAAAGTGTTTTTATTAGATGTTCTCACTTTCCAAAGGTATCTAGCTCACGAGATCATCCTCAAGAAAACGTCAAGAGCTACTTGTAAATAAAAAACTTTAAAGCAACACTATTTTTATAAGTTCTTTCAAGCTGGGCGCCGGTGGCTCACGTCTGTAACCCTAGCTGCTCAGGAGGGAGCGATCAGGAGGATCGCGGTTCGAAGCCAGCCCGGGCAATTAGTGCAAGCGACCCTATCTCAAAAAAACCCATCACAAAAAACGGCTGGTGAAGTAGCTCGAGGTGAAGGCCCTGAGTTCAAGCCCCAGTACCGCAAAAAAAAAAAACTTTCAAAAAATCAAAAGCAAAATAGAATTTGGTTACATTTTTTTCAAGCATTGAAAATTCCTAAATATGTCGCCTTAGGAATCTGATTGAATGATATATGCATTTTAATGTACCTATTAATGATGCTGTAGAGGACTTTGCTAAGAAGGAAAAGAGGCCCTGAGTTCAAGCCCAAGTACCGCAAAAAAAAAAACTTTCAAAAAATCAAAGCAAAATAGAATTTGGTTACATTTTTTTCAAAGCATTGAAAATTCCTAAATATGTCGCCTTAGGAATCTGATTGAATGATATATGCATTTTAATGTACCTATTAATGATGCTGTAGAGGACTTTGCTAAGAAGGAAAAGGTTCTCAATTTGCTCAAAATATACAAGTTTAAAATTTTAAAGTAAAAGAACAAAAACAATTTTTACAATAACTTTGTGTAATGCAACCCTTTTAAAAACATTTATGCTTCTTGTTTTTTATTTGTTTTTGGAGGCAGAGCGGTACTGGGGGTCTGAACAGGGCCTCAGGCTTGCTAGGCTGGTGCTCCACCACCTGAGCTGTCCCTAGCCTATACCTGACTGAGTGTGTAAAGTTGGGGAAATACCAACGAAGATGCAATGAGAATTGAGGAAGACACACTTTTTCTTTAGTGTGTCTAAACAATTCAAAAATCAGTAGCAAAAATGGAATTTGATTATATATTTTGTTACAGTATGTTGCTTGTATAATAAAAATAAGTTTTGAAGAAATAAAAGTCTGCAAAAGGTCTAAACGGCCAAATCTCAGAGATTTTGGTAATATTCTGTGGTTAATAAAGACATTTTGGCAGGTGTTTCAATATTTATCATTAGTACTTTAGGATTATACTCCTTTTCATTGCCTTTGTGAAATAATTGTCCCTTGAAATTCCACATTTTCAGGTTTTATATATATATGTATATATATTTTTTGGTGGTACTGGAGTTTGAACTCAGGGCTTCACACTTGTTAAGCAGGTGCTCTACTGCTTGAGCCACACCTCTAGTCCATATTGCTCTAGTTATTTTGGAGATGGGGTCTAGAGAACTAAATAGTCCTGGCTGGCCCTGAATCTTGATCCTCATGATCTCAGCCCCCAACTAGCTAGGATTACAGGCATGAGCCATTGGCACCCAGCTAATATCTGTATCTTTTTTTTTTTTTTCGTTACCGGGGTTTGAACTCAGGGCCTTCACCTTGAGCCACTATTTTTATGACTTTTTTTTTTTTTTTTCAAAATAAGGTCTTGTGAACTATTTGCCCGGGCTGGCTCCAACTGTGATCCTCCTGATCTCTTCTTCCGAAGTAACTCGGATTACAGACATGAGCATCCGACTCCCAGCAATGTCTGTATTTTTATAGGAAAGGAAACACTTTCAATCATCTCTAGAGTGAGAACAACCAATACCCAACAATAAACATGTTCTGGGAAAGCCAGCTGTTGTTATTGCATGTCTACAATCCCTGCACTCAGGAGGCAGAGGAAAGAAGATCTCTAGTTTGAGGCAAGCCTGAGCTACACAGTAAGACTGTGAGGCCCTGTGTTCTATCCCCAGCAACACAAAAATATTTTTCTAATATGTCTTCACTGTTCTAATTTCAAACAAAGTCATATTTATACACCTCTGTCTTTTTATTACTTAGTTTCTTAAGTATCCCTAGAGTTTATTTATGCAAATACTAGAGAAATATAAACATACATTACTCTTTTGTTGCACTATACACACTGTTTTGCATTTTAAAATGTTTTAAAGTTTTTAGTATATTTAGGGCTGGTGGAGTGGCTCAAGTGGTAGAGCACCTGCCTAGCAAGCATGAGGCCCTGAGTTCAAACCCTAGGACCGCTCCCCCCAATTTTTTAGTATATTCTTGGAAATCTTTCCATTATAGTCTACAGAAAGCTTCCTTTCTTGTTTTTGTTTACAAAGAACTTTCTTATTCATTATGTTAAAAATAACTAGTATTTATTAAGTACTTACAGTATATCAGGGATTTTGGTGAACAGTATAGGTTTGTGGTTAAAGTGGCTTGAAGTCAGACTGAATCTGAAACTTGGATCCAATACTTACATACCTATTTCCTTATTTCTAAAATGGAAAGGATTATAGTACCTACATGGGCAGGCAGTGTTGCAGGGGTTAAAATTAACACATGTAAAGTACACGAAACAGTATATGACATATGGGAACAGTCAATAAATGTTGTTACAAGCTGGGCACTGGTGACTCACACCTGCAATCCCAGCTTCTTGAGAGGCTGGGATTGGGAGAATTGCAGTTTGAGGCCAATGTGGGCAAATAGTTTGAGACCCCATCTCCAAAATAACCAGAGGAAAATGGACTGAAGGTGTGGCTCTGCTGGTAGAGTGCCTGTTTTGCAAGCACAAAGCCCTGCATTCAAACTCCAGTCCCATAAATGAATACATACGTAAATTAATTAATTAAATGCTATTGCTGTTATTTCTAAATATTACTATGAGACAGACTGATATAGTTGGCAATGATAGAGCCAAGATTTTAGTATATATGCTGATACATTGTCTGACATCTTAGGACAGACACTTAGGTTTAGCCAGCATTGTAAGCTTGTGCTGAGTGTAAAATTGTAAATGTCTAACATCCAGCTGAGGGGAGGAATAGGGGAGGAGAGCATGTATGTATGTATACACAGAGTTGAGTTCCTGGCTGTGTGACCCATCTGGACCTCATGTAGTTTGAAATTCTTAATGATTTTTGAATAAGAGTCCCCACATCTTTATTTTGTACTAAACATCACAAATTATGTAGCCAGTACAGTATTTATAACGCTGTGTTTATAACTACTGCAGGAATAAATTACTTAATCCTATTTCGGTGAGTGAAGGAACCCAGTAAATCGCAAAACGACATGCCTTGGGGTCGTTTGGGGGATGCTAAACGAACCTGTTTGCAGCGAGTCTGGAAGCAGGTGCGGGGCGGGGTACAGGTGGAAGGGCCTTTCGCGGGGTTGCAGCCGGCCCAGGCCTTTGGCCCCGCCCCTCTCCGGCCCCGCCCCTCTCCGGCCACGCCTCCTCTCCGGCCACGCCTCCCCCTACTCCGGTTGCTCCTGCGGCCCTGTCGGCGCCGCGGCCCTTGTTTCCCAGCCGGCCTCCTGAGGCCGACGTACAAGATGGCGGCCCCGGCGGTCCCCAGGAAACCAGTCCCTGAGGCTGGTCCTTTGGTCCTTGAGCTCTAGCTCTGGGCTGGAGGCAGGTGACAGGCCTCACCCAGGTGACAGGGGGTCGGGCGAACGCCGACGAGCCTCGTGGGGGACAAGACCTTGCTGCTGCCCTCGGTCCGTACCGCCCTCCTAGCCCTGCCCCGGGGTGGAACCAAAGAAAAGGTCAGGCCCGCCTGGCCCGCCTATCCTCGCCCTCGAGCGGTCACTTCGAGTGACTCACTTTTAAAGTTGACTTCAGCCACGTGCAGCTTCCATGGCTGCCTTGCAGGTCCCGGGGGAAAAGATTAACATTCAGGCGGGAGAGACCGCCAAGGCCGGGGAGAAGGACCCGCTGGAGAACGACTGGCCGGAGCAGGACAGGCTGCCCCAACGCTCCTGGAGGCAAAAATGTGCCTCCTATGTGTTGGCCCTGAGGCCCTGGAGCTTCAGTGCCTCACTCACCCCTGTGGCCCTGGGCAGTGCCCTAGCATACAGATCCCAGGGCGTCCTGGATCCTAGGCTGTTGGTGGGTTGTGCGGTGGCTGTCCTAGCAGTGCACGGGGCTGGCAACTTGGTCAACACTTACTATGACTTTTCCAAAGGCATTGACCACAAAAAGAGTGATGACAGGACCCTGGTGGACCGAATTTTGGAGCCCCAGGATGTTGTTCGGTTTGGAGTCTTCCTCTACACCTTGGGCTGCCTCTGTGCTGCCTGCCTCTACTACCTGTCCACTCTGAAACTGGAGCACCTGGCTCTCATCTACTTTGGAGGACTATCTGGCTCCTTTCTCTACACGGGAGGTAAGAATTGACTTGTGTCCTGTTCTGAAGTTCTCCGTTGCCTGTACTGGAAACTGCTGCTTTGCCTAGGAATTGTAAAGCTGTCAAAGATTCTCTTGAATTTATAGTGTATGGGTCATGGATGTTTTGAAAACAATAAGTTGCAAAGATCCTGCCTTGGCTTATAGATGTTGAGCATGACTCCAATACATGCATGGACATTTTTTGCACTTATTTTCCTCTTGGGATCATACTTTAAGTGCCACAGTTTCAAATTTTAGTGGAATTAAATCTAAAGAATTCAAAATTATATAGCTAATGACTTTCAGCTAGCTTGGAGGCGAGGTCTTGTGGCAGGTTGATTAAAGTGATGGACAAGGGTTAATTCATACTTATTGAGTACTTACTGTGAGCAGGTTACTGTTCTATGTGAACACAGTAGGCATAGATCCCTGCCTGTGTGGAATTTATATTGCCATGAGGAAAGACAGGAAGTAAAAATAGTAAAGTTAGTGTAACCCCCCTCCTGCTTTGCTCAGGACTAAGAGAGTTCCTGGGATGTGGGACTTTATTGGTCCCCCTGTTTATAGTATAGTCATGTGTCACTTAACAATGGGGGTACATTCTGAGAAATGTGTTGTTAGATGATTTTGTCCTTGTGCAAAATCATGGAGCAGACTTACACAAGCATAGATGGTATAGGTCAATCACTCCATGTTGCCTCTTAATGCAATCAGATGTAGAAACAGGTACATAAGACTGATGCTGACTTAACAGGACAAACTGTTTCACAGTAAACTGTTTTGTAAAAAAAAACATAAATAGAAGAGTATACACTAAAACAATTATTAAAAAGGATAGGATAATAAGCTGGGCACCAGTGGCTCACACCTGGGAGTAGCTCTCCCTAGCTACTTGGGAGACTGAGATCAGGAGGATCAAGATTCAAACCAGTCCAGGCAAATAATTTCACGAAAGAACCCATCTCCAAAATAACCAGAGCAAAATGGACTGGAGTTGTGGCTCAAGTGGTCGAGAGCCTGCTTTGCAAGTTCAAACCCCTGTTCCACCCCTACCCCCCAAAAAAAGTATAGGATAATAAATGCATAAACCACTAACATGGTTGTTTACTTTTTTTTTTTTTGCTCTTACTCCATTTTACTCTGTGGAACCATTGCTGTATATTTGGTCCATCATTGACTGAAGTGTCATGTAGTTAATGACTGTATATAAGCGGTGCCATGAGGGGAAAAATGGAGCAGAGAAAGGGGTCACAGGTGACTACTTTAAGTAGTTTGATCAGGGTGGACCTCATCAGAGAGATAATATCTGAGCTAGATTGAAGGAGGTGAGAGAGTACTGTGTTGGTCACAGTCACACAGATTATCTGGGAGAAGAGCCTTCCAGCAAAAGGGAACAAGTGCCAAGGTGCCTTCAGGCAGGAGTGGACCTGAAGAGTCTGAGAACAGGAAGAAGTATAGCGTGTGACTGGTGGAGACAGTGAAGAGAGGTAAAGGCAGAGAAGTGCATGTGGGGACAGGAGGGAGTCGTGCAGACTATATAGACTTTGTAGGCCTTTGGACTTTACTCTGAAGTGGAGGAGCCATTGCAAGGTTTTGAGCAAAGGAGTGAGATGATAAGACTTTTGTTTTGAAAGAATCACTTTGGCTAAGATATTAGGAATAGATAAAGGGGAGTAGGGCAAGGGTAGATGCAAGAAGACCAAGTAGGAGGCTCTTGGGCAATCCTGGCAAGGTGTTTGGAGGCTTGCATCAGAGTACTGGTAGTGGGAGAGGTGAGAAGGCAGATTCTGAATAAGTTTTGAAGGTAGATAGGGTTTGCTGATGGATTGGATGTGAGTTAGAGGAATAGAGGAATTAAGCTTGACCCAAAAGTTTTGACTGAGTACCTGGAAGAATAGAGTTGATCTCATCTTGTGAAACAGGTAAGAAAGTCGAGGCTAGAATAAGTTTTTGAAGGAAAATCAGGAGATTGACTTTGTTAGAGGTCCCAGTGGAGATGTCAGATGTGTAGTTGAGTATATATAGAAGCTGAATTCAGGGAAGAGAGACAGATGTTTGGGAGGCATTGGCATACAGATAAAATGTAGGATTGGTGAGAACATTACAAGAGGGAGTGTTAGAAAAGTGAAGAGGACCAGTGCTGAGCCCTGTGACCCTCCAACTTAAGAGGTGAACAGAGGAGAAGGACCAGGTAAAGGGGGCTGTGAACAAGCATTTGGAGGAGTTGGAGGAAAACCAAAAGACCATGGTGTCCTGGCAGCCAGTTGTAAATTTAGAGCAATTTAAAAAAATTTATAGAGGCGGGGCGTGGTGGTGCATGTCTGTAATCCCAGCACTTGGGAGGCTGAAGCTGGAGTATTGCAAATTTGAGGACAGCCTAGGCTACATAGACTCTGTCTCAAAAAAAGTTTGATAAAATAGCATAAGGTGGTAAAGGGAGAAGACCCTCTGTGTTAGCTTTCTGTTACTGTTACAAAATACCTGAGACAACCATGCTGGCCTTACAGGACCTCTGCCACCTCTGCTGGCTCCTTGTCACTCCCTACCCTCTGGGGCTTAGTCCTTGGACCTCTTTTCTCTTTCTTCATTTACTATCTTGGTGATTTTGGCAGTCCATGACTTAAGATAACATCTATTAAGCTGGTGACTCTCAAACTCTGGATTCATATCCAATTTCTTTTTTTGGTGGGAGGGGGTGCAGGGGGAATTGCTGGTGATTGGACCCAGGGCTTCTCACATGCTGAGCATGTGCTCTCCCACTGAGCTATATCCTCAGTCTATGTCCAGTTTCTATTTCTTTTCTTTTTTCCTTGTTTTGGTGGTACTGGGGTTTGAACCTGGACACACTTGCTACAGGCAGGCACTGTACCACTTGAGCCACTCCATCAGCCCTTTTGTGTGTTGGGTATTTTTGAGATAGTATCTTGTGAACTATTTGCCCAGACTGGCTTTGAACCAGGATCCTCCTGATCTCTGCCTCCTGAGTAGTTAGGATTACAGGTGTGAGCCACTGACGCCCAGCAATGTCCAGTTTCTTACTCAGTAATTTGTAGAGATCTCAGAGATATTTCAAGCTTAACTTGTCTAAAATAAAAATTCCTGATCTTTCTTTTCATCGAAGATAATTACTCTAACTATGGTTTCTCTCATTTTGCTCAATGGTAATTTTTTTTTTTTTTCCCAATGCTGGGGATTGAATCCAGGGGCCAGGCAAGCATCTAGCTAGGCATGTACTCTACCACTGAGCTGTATCCCTTGCCCACTTAATGGTAACTTCATCTTTCTATTTCTTTAGTCCCAAAGTCATGGGCATTTTCTTGAGCTCTTCTTACATCGTATGTCCAGCTTATCAACAAATCCTGATTTTGTTCAAAATACTTTGGGATGTGACTACTCCTCAGCATGTCTTACGACCAGCATGATCATTTGTCTCTGGATTATTATGTCATCTCCTAACTGGTCTCTTTGCATCTGCCCCTGTCCCTTTCTGGCTACTCCAACATCAGGAGCAGTGGCAATTGTCAGTCCTCTACTCAGAACTCTCCAGTGACTCCCATCTCATTCAGAGTAATTCCACATTTTTACAGTGACCCTTCTAAGGTCTTGCATCATTTGTACACTCTGCCCTCTCCTCAGCTCAGACCTGCCCTCCTCCTACTTTTCTCCTGCTCACCGTGAGCCAGTCACACTGCCCTTCTAGGCCTGCACTGTGTGGGGCATATACGTCTTTGCAGGGGCTGTTCCTTCTATCCATGTAGCTCGCTTTCTCTCTTCCTTCACCCATGTCAGCTTAGTGAGGCGTTGCTTTCTACCTTACTTAAAGTTATATACACCTAGCCAGCCATGGTGGTGCATGCCCGTAAATCCCAGTTCTTGGGAAACTGAGGCAGGAAGAGCTCAAGTTCAAGACTAGCCTGGACAGCATAAAGAGACTGTCTCAAAATGACAAAACACAATCACACACCCTCCTCGTATGGCTCTCTACAGTATCCTCCTTGTTGGTCTTCTCTCCTTTAATTTTCTATGTGGACAACATACAGTGCCTTCTGACATACCATACCAAAGTATTTGTTTGGCTAATTATTTTTACTCTTAAGACTGTGAGCTCCCTGTGTTCAGGTCTTTCTCTCTCTTTATTCCCTGCTGAACCCCTGGTGCAGTGCCTGCATGCACTACTTACTTAAAACACTCATCAAGGGCTATGCATATGGTTCAAGTGGTAGAGTACTTGCCTAGCAAGTGCAAGCCCAGAATTCAAACCCCAATACCATCCCCCAAAAAATCCAAACAAAACTTATCCAGTAAAGAAACAGGAAGACATTGAAATGTGTTGGGCAGAGTAAAGACTTAATCTGATTTAGCTATTTTTTAACATGAGCTTTTATTGATATACAGTGAAATGCCCAGATCTTCAGTGTTACAATTTGGTGAATCTTGACAAATGCCCCTGTCATGATGCAGAACATTTCAATCACCCTCAAATGTTTCCTTGAACTCTTCCCATCAGTCCTACTCTGCTCACCCCTCTGCAGAGGCAACCACTGATCTGGTTTTTTCAGATAGATTAGTTTCTCCAGGTCTAGAATATTGGAGCCATTCAGGATGGATTATTTATGTCTTTATTACAATATGAACTCTTTTAAGTTTGGCTTCTTTGGCTCAGCATGATAATTTTGAAAACTCGTCATGTTATATATATCTATAGTTCCTTTTTTTAATTATTATTATTTTTTTTGGTGGTTTTGGGGTTTGAACTCAAGGACTCTAGGCCTTACACTTTTTAGGCAGGTGCTCTGCCCTTGAGCCACACCCCTAACCTGTAGTTCCCTTTTATTGTGAAATAACATCCATTGATGAATATACCCGTTTGTTTATGTATTTTCCTGCCCAGGGACCTTTGGGTTGTTTCCATATCTTGGTTATTGTGACTAAACATTTCATGTGGGTGTTTTTTATTTTTCTTGGGTAAATGCCTAGAAATTGAATTGTTGAGACCTAGGGTAGGCGATGTTTGATTTTATGAGAAGCTGTCAAACTGTTTTCAAAAATGGTTGGACTCCTGTACACTCCCACCAGCAGTGCATGAGCATTCCAGTGGCTCTGTACCCTGCCAACATTTTTTTTCTTTCTTTTATTTTTTTGAGACAGAGTCTCAATATGTAGCCCAGGCTGACATAGAGCTTGCAGTCCTCCTGCCTCAGCCTTCTGAATGCTAGTATTACTGCCATGTACGACTATGAGGCTCTTGCCAACTTTTTGATTTATGTCTTAATATTAATTGTGGCTGCTGTGTGGAGAACTGGCCTGGTATTTCCTGTGCTGGCTCATTCGAAAATGGTGTTAGGTGGGTTGGGAATGTCTAAAAGAAAACTCCTATGCAGGCCACATCTCTGAATCCGATGGCACACAGAGCCCTGGGCCATATATCAGACACTTAGGGATAGCTCTCTCCTCAGAGGCTCTGATGTTTGCTTGTGTCAGATAAACTTAAGGTCGTCAGACCTTTCATGTTCCTTGAATGGGTTTATGTTTGTTTTTTGGGGGTTTTCTCAGAAGTCTCCAGAGGTTGTAGCAGAAGGCTAGTTAGGCATTCTGTGCCAAATTGGACTGACAGTGTCTTTGGGGGCCAGAGAAGGGTGAAAGGAACCCAAGAACTGTACTGTCGGATCTCTCAGCTCCTTCACAGGACTAGATCCTTCCACTGAACTATGTACTGGGAGCCTGGTACATTTGGTGGCAAAACTTGGATTTTGGGAATAGTAGGAGAGTAAAGTAGGGTATGACCCTGAACAATTGGATTCTGAGCATTCTTTCTGTACCTGGGTCATGGAGACAAAATCTGATTTTGCTCTTGGGGACCCAAATGAGCACCCATCCTCACAGCCTAAGAACTCACCATTTTTAGCCAGATTTGGCCCACTCCCTGACTGCTTAGCCGCCCTTCAGCATCCAGTCTTTGATCTCACACCACCTCTCTGGATTTTCTGGCTGTAGGAATTGGATTCAAGTACGTGGCTCTGGGAGACCTTGTCATCCTCATCACTTTTGGCCCGCTGGCTGTGATGTTCGCCTATGCCGTTCAGGTGGGGTCCCTCGCCATCTTCCCTCTGGTCTACGCCATCCCTTTGGCCCTCAGCACTGAGGCCATTCTCCATTCCAACAACACCAGGGATATGGAATCCGACCGGGAAGCTGGCATCGTCACGCTGGCCATCCTTATTGGCCCCATGCTGTCCTACGTGCTGTACAACACGCTGCTCTTCCTGCCCTACCTGATCTTCAGCATCCTGGCCACACACTGCAGCATCAGCCTGGCCCTGCCCCTGCTCACCATCCCCATGGCCTTTTCCCTGGAGAGGCAGTTCCGCAGCCAGGCTTTCAGCAAGCTGCCCCAGAGGACAGCTAAGCTTAACCTCCTGCTGGGGCTTTTCTACGTCTTTGGCATCATCCTGGCACCAGCCGGCAGTCTGCCCAGACTTTGAGGGACCAGCAACTCCCCTTTCTTAGAATATGCTGAAGCCAGAGTCCCCGAGAAGAGAATGTGACTTGGCACAGCGGGTAATAAGCATGGTCTCTGAGGTCCTACCTTATTGTATTATGTTCTTAAAGATAATCTGTTTGATTTGTTTTTCCATCCTGGTGTCAGGAGGTGAGCTGGACGCCTGGTTCTTGTTTTATTTATAATTTCCACTAGAGGGTGTTGTTAGGTCACTTTAGAGTGTAATGGACCCAGTTCCTCCTTGTTCTGACCGAATGTCCTAAGACTTTGAAGGAGCTACTATGGCTCCCAAGAGAGCATAGCAGCTACATACTGTGTCATCCTGTTATCTGACACATAGTAAATGGTCATAATTGGTGCCAGGACCCATTAACATGGATGCATCTGCCTGCTACTCAGCACTGGTGTCCTGAATATGCTGCTTGCAAGAGAAAGTCCTCATTAACAGGTTAGAGTGACTCCCTGCTTTTTGCCTAAATTGTGATTCAGACACTTTTATCCCTCATTTCTCCTTTCACGTATTGCCACAGTTGGGGCAGTCAGCTCACTCTACAGAAAGACAGTCAAGCCAGGACTGGGAGGAGGAAAAACCCACCCTGGAGGCAGTGGAGAAGAACACTATGTTTTAGATAAAAATTAGTAGAGTGACTGTTTAGAGTCACTGTAGAATCTGTTAGAATGACAGGAAGGACTCCTAGACCTTTTAGTAACTATCAGGAAGCCCAAAATTGTAGAGGCATGGCTGTCCCTGTTGGCTCCTTAAAGTCCACAGGGCTTTTTCTCTCCTAATCACCTCTCCTATTGCTCCCCTGTGAGCACCCTGCATCTCTATCTCTCCATCCAGTTCCTATCTGTGGGGCCACACTGGGTAATGGCTTAGCACCTGAGTCAGGGACAGTTGCCACTTTCCACAGAACTACAGGATAGGCAGAGCAGGGACCCAATGAATGTACAAGCCATTGTACAACAGTCCTGATTCTGCTCAGCCAGAGTGACAGGCCCTGCCAGTGCGGATACTGTGTTTGTCCTTGAGGTAGACATGTAACTCAAACACCACCTCTCCCCAAGCTTCTGTCACCTTGTACAAAGACAGTTGAGGGCTTCAGTGAGATCACAGCCCAAAGGGACTAACATTGGTCATGATGCTTTCCATTACATTGCCTTCGAGGTGTGACTTCTGGGCTACAGTTGCTCATTACATATGATCTAAGACTGAAGTAGATTGAGATGGTCATGTAGTCATCATTGTACTTTTCTGTTGTGATCAGCTATTCAAACCAAAGTCTGGGCCTGCAGAAAATGACATAAGAACTCTTTCTTAATCTTTCAGACCAGGCTAAGTATGATTTGACTCCTTGAGTTAGAATTGGTCAGCTTACCTGAAAAAATGTTATTTGGAAGTTACAAATGTTTCTCTAAAGTTAGGGTGGTTTGTCTACCAGAGAGGATTTTTGAACTTGGGTCAGAGCTCCGTGACAAGAGAAAGGAGGTCCCTTCTTTTCTGCCCTTCTTCCCAGCACCATTTTTGTTTTATGTCATACTTGTGGCATTTTGATGCTCGTGGGAGTCCTGTCTTCAGAGAAGCTCCTCTGGAGCCCAGTATGGTGACCCATGCTTGTGTTCCCAGCACTCAAGAGGCTGAGGCAGGAGGATTGTGAGTTCTAGGCCAGCCTAGGCTACATAGTGAGACCCTGTCTCAAAAAAAGAAAGAAAGAAAAAAAGAAGGAAAGCTTCTCTGACCTTTGACCTGTGCTCAAGACTGGTCATTCTCATGTCTGGAGGACCAGTGGCTCCTGGTGTACATGGACCAACCACCCTCACAACCACTGCCATCAGAATTGTTAACCACCTGCTGTACTTTGCCCTGGTGCCAATTTTAATGAATATTTTTATACATAAATGATCTCAAAAGGCCATATTTAGTGCCAGGTTTTATATACACGTTACCATAATTTGTATTATGTCTCCCGATTCAAATGAAGGTTTTCTGTAGACTTGTTAATTAAAAAGAAAATGTTTATTAGTGGTCTGGCTTTCAGATTTTCTTTGCTTTCCTCCTGCTTCTTTTATTGTCAGATTGTGAATTCTGATTCATAAATCTCAGGGAAACCAGGGTGGGGACTGGGACAGGTGAATAGGGGAGGGGCACTTGATCTTCGGGATGAATTTGGATAGGGTTTGACCAGAATTGACAGGCCTTAGGAATGCAGTTGGGACCACTTAGAACCAATTAGTGGTCAGGCCACATTAACTTTGTTTCTTTCTACCCTTTCTTGCTTTCATTTTTCTTCTGATAGGGTCACACTGCTGATAGATTGAGAACATGTAGTAGATTGAGTACACTTGGGTTTCAGCTGGGCATTTGACAATATATCCTGTGAACAAGGCAGAGATATGTGGAATGGATAATGCTGTAGTTGGATAAATTTCTGGGACTGAAGGAGCTATGGGAGAGCTGACAGATCAGCATGTCGGTGCCAGCTGGGAAGGAAGCCTTCAGAGGCATGGGGAAGCCCTGCCCTCTGCCTTCTGCCTGGCTAAATTCAACACTTGTTATTAAGGCCTGGAAAGAAGCTGCCCAAATTGTAGGTTTCATGAACTTTGCAAGAAGAGCTGTAAAATGACACAAGACTGCTTTGGTGGGTCAGAGGAAAAGCTGGGCATGAATAAATGCACGGCAATATGTTTGAGTCACCAAAATAACAGCATCCATTGAGAAGGAGGTGATCCATGGTGCGAGACACATGTGATGGGTATGAATTTTATGGATGACTCTAAGATACAATATCCCATGCCTTTATTTCTTTGAGTGCGATGTATCCTACCCCACAGTGGGTTGCTGGAAATGCAACTTCAGTCATCTCTTGGGTTCTTCCTATGCCTCTTCCTAGTACCACCTAGGATTCCTGAGCCCATGGGGTCAAAAGCCAGGGATTTTGGCTTACCCTGTTGGCATACCACCTGTATGTCGCCTCGCTGCTACCTGATGCTGGGGCTCAGCCCTGGAATCCACCCTTGTCTCAGGCACTGCTGCTCTTGAAGGGTTCAGAATACCTGGTGACAAGTGCTGTGGGGCACTGGTTCCTGCCACCCCATTTCCATTGCTGCTCAGGCTCAGTGAACTGCCCCTTCCGTGATCTCCACCGTCTACCTTCCTGACTTCTCTACCCTTCACTCAGCATTCCCGCCTGGAGGATCTGGAGCATCGAGGCTGGCCTCTTCTCTGGCTGGATGGGGAGAAAATTAGGAAATGTTACATGCTGTCTTACTAACTCTTCTGTTCCTTGCCCAAAGCAAAGTCAGCTTGAGTCAGTAATGACCCTGTTGGAGGTGAATGTGATCCAGGAGGAATGAACAAGAGATCAGTGTCCAGAATAAGGACAGCAGAAGTCCTGGTCATCTCTGCACTGACCATTTCCCACAGGGCAGGCTGGGGCCGATTCTACCTACCTTCTTCCTTTTTTCTAGCTTGAGTCAATGTGATAGATGGAGAATGTGCTATGGGTGTAATAATATTCTTGGACTTTAAGAAGATATGACAATATAATACAAAATGAGGATTGAATGAAAATTCAGTCAGGAGCTTCATTTCTATGTGCTTGTGCATGTGTGCATATGTATGTGTATTTTCACACTGGTTACAGCTATGACAGATTTTAATTTCTGAGTGTGTGAAGCACGTTTTGAAGATGTTATTAGCCAAGTGGATCTTGTCCAGAAAGCAGTTGGCAGACTGGTGAGGAAGCATAAACCATGCCAGCGTAGAAAGGAGGCCCTCAAGAAGGCTGTCTTGGAGAAGAGGGATTGGGCTCTGTGTGTGTGTGTGTGAGAGAGAGAGAGAGAGCGAGAGAGAAACTTTAAGGGATCAACACAAGTTATATGACCTCACATTTAAGCTCTTAGATCAGGAAGAACTTCCTAGCCATTGGTGGAATTAGCAAGTGTGAAGTGGGATGTTTGAAACATCCCAGTGGGTGCAAGTCCCCTGTAACTAGAGGCATTCAAGAGAAAGGATGATGGCTGGGCATGATGGCTCACCTCTGTCATCCCAGCTAATTGGGAGGCCAATCCAAGACCTGCCCTGGGCAAAAATAACTATAGCAAAAAGGACTGAGGCTGTGGCTCGAGTGGTAGAGTACCTGTCTAGTAGGCACAAGGCCCAAGTTCAAACTCCAATACTGCTGAGAGAGACAGACAGACAGAAATGCCACCATATAGGGTTGCTTCTCAGACCTGCTCCCAGCGGGGTGAGAGGACAGGGTACAAGAAACACATTTGACATTTCTCCTGGGTGTCAGCTTATATGCCCCATTATAACTGCACAGCTGTGATTGATACTACTTTCTTGTTTCTTAAAAAAGGGTTATATATAGACACACACACAAACACAGTTGACTTCACCCTGAAAGCCTTTAAAGTGAGGTGGCTGACAGCTCCAGTCCTCTGAGCCTGCTGACCACTCTGCTGCTAACGGACTGTCAGCCTCTTTCATTACTGGCTTCAGACCATGCAGGCTGGTGTGAAAGTAGTGCCTCTGGCAAGAACCTGTACTTGAGTTTCAGCCAGTTGACATTTGTGATTTGTCCTTCTTCAAATTGGGACATCCCTCCTGTGGTGAGCAACTGAGTCAGGACTTCAAACAGTGGTGTAAACTCAGTAGGGTCCCTGCCTGAGGCTGTGGCAAGGGCAGAGCTTGGGCTCATGAGGATCCTCAAAAATGGTGGTGGGGGCCATAATTACATGGCACAGATCCACCTCACAAGATGCCAGAACTCTGGGTAACAGTGAGAGTCTCAAGTCACATGCTCCCAACCAAGGGCTGGGTTGGGGGAAGGTAATATGAAGTTGATCTGGGGCCCTGCTATGACATTAATGCATACAAAGAGGCAGGGCTCTGGTGGTGTGGTTCAAGGGTGCCCCAAAGTCGACACTCCTGTGTTCCTGCATGTCCTTGCCTCTGTCTTCCCCAGCGGGGCATGGAATTGCCTCCTGTTAGGGCCACAAATGGGCCTAACAGGGAAGTGACAGCACAGCGTGTGTTCTGCATCTGTTTTGTCAGCATGTTTATTGTCAATTTCCCTAGCAGGTGGGAGAACTACCAGGTAGAACGATGT